ATCCCTTTCAAACATGTCACGTGTATTTGTCTAATGTAGAAATAGGTTGTAATTTTCTTACCTGATTGGAGGATTCATAATATGAAAACTGTACTAACTCATCAACAGGCCAAGATGGTAATGTAATACCAGTTACATGCTCCATGAGTATTTTCATAGTGATCTGTTGTGAATTCTGTTCGGGCGGCTTTGGCTCAACATGGTCTTTCATTATGTCCTTATTGCATAAAGAGCTCAATGCTACTCGAAGTCCAATGGCTAAAAATCGCTAGTGGCTTGCAGCATGGCTATTGGCTGAATCTATAGAAACTTTCATTCTGTGCCTAAACATGTGCACTCATGTATACAAAGATGTTGATTAATTTCTGTTGATGAATTTTGTAGGAATCCCATAATAGGAGTCAAATATATTTTATTATTTGTAGCTTTGTAATTGATGTATTTTAAATCAGCTACCATGAGAGAGAGGAGGTTCACATTCATTAATGCACAAAAGACATATCAAACTGCAGGTAACGAAATCCCAAGAAAGGAAATTATTTCATTTGTTTTAGAAAAGTAATATAGTCTTAAATACTAAAATAAATGACATGCTAATTAGCATGAAATTAAAAATTACGTTAACCATCCCCATTTATTCCCCATCGCTAAGTTAAGGCTTGACTCATAGGTTTATAAGAACTTTAGTCACTGATTTTCTAGTTGCGTAAGTAATGGAAATTAGAAACCGAGGCTGGAAAAAGAAAAAAAAAGTGACACAACCACTGTCCCTCCTATTTCTTCGTTCACTGCCAAGCATCTTTAAGTCATTTCACCTACAAAACATCAATCAAAACGCCAAACATCTTTAAGTCAATTCACCGTCATTGTCATCTACCAACTCAGCCAACCTATTAATCATCAAAAAAAATTTGAAAGTAAAAAATATTGTATAAAGTAAAGTGTCCACTTTTTTATTAATTATTAAAAAGTGATGTTTGTCACTAAAAAAAGTAATAGAAATTTCAAAAAAGTGACAGAATTTTTTTTTTAAAAAAAGTGACGCGCTATTCAAAAAGGTGACAAAAACTACAAAAAAAATGACTCACACTTGAAAAAGTTGCGTAAATG